TGAAAAAATGGTTGGGAGGTTTCGGGCTGAAAGAATTAGAACATGGAAAATTAATAGAAACATCATGTTAAATGTTTATTCACATTAACTAACATGTTATGCTCACTACAAGAAGGATATCAATATATATTGCCTTTTTTCTAATATTTCTATCATCAAACCAAAACGGGGAAATCCAAATATGTGTGAAAATTCCATAGGATCGTTATAATACTACCTAATGTTTACTAGGTCCACTTAGTTTGGTTATTGTGAAATTTAGAGAGAATCTATTTAATTTTATTTTTATTGCTCCAAAAATTAGCCCTTGGTAAACAAAAATGAAGAGAGGAAGCATTATGGCCCTTTTTTTGTCGAACTGCTTATTGTTTCTAGTGTGTTGGTATGTTAGGTTTTTACGGAGTATTTATTGTCGGGACTCTCTTGAAAATAGTCTCTCAACTTGTTGGGGGAAAAAGTAAGGCTTGCTTAAAAGTTACATCTTTTAAGCAGACCATACTACATTGTTGGGCATAGTCACTTTGTTTGGTCTAGTTTGGCTTGTGTTGGTACATTTGTTTGCTCTTCCTTCTTAGTAACCACATTGAGTATCCTTAAGTTTTTCAGAACTGGACTTGGCAACATTTTTCTTTGGCACCATTTGTTGGCAAATTCATCAATGGACCTCATATAAATCAAATAAGCATTTGCTTACTACTGAGCTAAGCATTTTTTAATTTCTTTTTGATAAAAAACAAAAAATCAAAATTTGTATGAGAACGTCCATATGAGCCTTCTGGACCATAGTTCCATAATAGAATTTCTCCCATTTGTTATCAATAACTAAGTTGCACAGAAGTGGGAATGGGGAAACACCAAAACTTTATAAATTTTACAAAGATTCTGAGTTTGGGAACATCCCCAAGTACCCATATGGAAATGTTTTGGGCACGGGAAGAGACATAATTGGCACTTACTTGAAGATTTTGTGCAACTTAGACCAATAACAGGAGATGCTTCTCAACAAGTATGCAAGACCATTAAAATGTTAAATGAGTACATACAACATATTTTTATCTTGAAATGTTTTTAATTGGAATTCGAACGTATGTGTGTCCGATATCGGATAATGACATTTTTTCTTTCTTGTTCCCTTTCCAGATTTTTTCTCTACCGTCAGATCCTAAGACTAGATCATGCCTCTGCAGTCTATTTGTCACTGCTGCGCTAATTTGTGGTGTATACTTCACAGGAAATGTATTCCTTGGAAGAGATTATAAGGCAATTTTACTTCTTGGAAACACAGTTGCAACTGTTTTGACAGGAGAAGTGTTAGTTATCATTGTGGCCAACGATTTGACAAAGCAAATTTTTTGCAGATACCTGTCCGGTTTGGAATGAGTCACTCACTACGAAGTGCAAAACCTTGTAGGCATGAGGTATTTTAATCGTGTTTTTTTCCTTCAAAAGTTAGCAGTCGTTTTATACTTTTATTAATAATTTACCACACTTCTTTCTTTTTGTTTGCATAAACGTTGCGATCAATTAAAAAATGTAATTGATATGCAGGCTTCATCTGCAATGGATGTAAAAGTGAACGATACAAAAAAGAATTTGCAGACTAGTAAATGCATGGTAATGACTTTGTCTTCTCCATTCATATTGGTGCTCTGAAGTCATAGATTGTTTCTAACTCTTATAAGTATCTATCGATGTATTAGGAAAATTGCAGACCTGTTGGTAGTGAGCCACTTCCAGAGGGAGTTGTTTGTAAAACATCAAATTTGGAAATGCAGCCTTTATGGGGTCCTCTCACTCATAATGTAAGCTGCTTAGCTTTAGAAGAGATATGAGTATTAATGACCTTTTTTCTTCCTCTTCGAATTTCTATTAGTTTTTCTTTATACACTTTCATCCAACATGTTTGAAGCAGGAAATATCCAAGCATCAGATGAATTTGTTGGCCATTCCAGTTGGGATAAAGCAAAAAGAATTAGTCAACCAAATCGTTAAGACGGTGAATCCTCTCTCTTTCTTTCTCTCAATCATATTTTAAGTTGGCTCCTTTGCATTGTGTTAAGAGTCTAAAAACCACAAGCTCGAGCTTTTAGTTGACTTGGGTTCTTAACATGATATCAAAGCCTTCTTGACTTATATGTCACAAATCTTGCCTGCACGTGGCGGACATGTTACAGAAGAAAACAACATATCCTGGGCTTACAATCTCAATCTTGAACTCTTTGTTGAGTTTGTTCCTAGACACATTGGTTTCTTATTTGCCGTTGCAGTTTCTAGACGATGACTTTGGTGTGATGCTGTTTCATTATGATGGCGTAGTGGACGAATGGAATGATCTTGAATGGAGTAGGAAAGTCATACATGTATCTGCGGCAAACCAAACAAAATGGTATTGTACACTCCATTGTTTTTGTATCAAGTGATGCTCCGATACAATATTACATTTCAGCCCTTCATATATGAGCTTGTTGATGCCCAGGTGGTTTGCCAAGCGTTTTCTTCACCCAAATATAGTTGCCGAATATGATTACATCTTCCTGTGGGATGAAGATCTTGGAGTCGAAAACTTTCATCCAAAAAGGCACTGATTTGTTATTTCTTAGCCACTTGTGTTTGTAAAACAATAATGATGGCATGCTTTTTAACATTACCCATTGTTAATGTTTATAGGTATATATCGATAGTGAAAGAAGAGGGTCTTGAGATATCTCAGCCTGGACTTGATCCTCGTCAATCAGAGGTGCATCATCGCATTACCATGCGCAGAAGGAATTCTAAAGTGCACAGGTTCAATTTTTGTTGTTTTGGGTCTCCAAAAAAAAGAACTTTGGGCTTTTACATGCTAAGTTGTTTCTCTGATTAGGAGGTTCTTTACATCAAATGCCAACGGATGCAACAACAACAGTAGTGCTCCTCCTTGTGTAGGGTAAGGATTTCAAACTGCTGGAATAATCAGTATAGATTAATCCCAAATCTTAATGACGTTACGTTTTATAAAATTTAGATGGGTAGAAATGATGGCTCCTGTATTTTCAAAAGCCGCATGGCGTTGCGCTTGGTTCATGATCCAGGTGCTGTATAACCACTCGCTTGTATGCTCTATGAATTCAAACAACATCTTCTCACTATTGATATAATGTGATAAATTTTTTTTATTGTTATCAATAGAACGATTTGATTCATGCGTGGGGGTTGGATATGAAGCTCGGTTACTGTGCTCAGGTTTATCTACGTCACACCCCTTGTGCTGGTTTTTGTTTGGTTGATGGTTTCTTGTGCATGTTTGGTCATACTTTTGGCATGGATAGGGCGATAGGACAAAAAAGGTTGGAGTTGTTGATGAAGAGTATATATACCATTTGGGCCTTCCTACGCTTGGTGGCGATTCTCATAGGCATAAGGCAAGTTTGTTTGGCTCAACTTAGTCACCACACGACACATGGGTCAAACCACACTAAAACATTGAATGCATATCTTATCTCATCCATTATTTTTCTCTTTAAGTTCGAATGTGAGACCAACAAATGTATTCAAATCTTTGTTTTTAAAGTTAGTCCGACTACTTACGTTCAAATTTCTACAGCTGAGTTCTCCGGAGCTTTCCCTGCCCAAGAAGAGCCCCATGGACTCAAAGGCAATGGTATGTCTCCTATAAACTAGACTAGGGTTTGGCTTTAGACTTGTTTGGCTGAAACACACAAGTCACGAAACGATTTTCATTTGAGAAACTTCAGCAGATATTTCAGCTAGCCAAACATGCCATAGATTGGATTCTCCTAACCTATTGCAACTGATTTAACCACTGTGTTTGGCATGCCAGGGAGCGACGCCATCAGTGCATAAACCAGATAATAATAATAATAATAATAGAGCAGAGGTACGTACGTATTTCTAGTTTTCGTGCATATTGTCACAAAGGACAAACACAGCTTTGTGTAACGTTGCGTTTCATTGTCTGCAGGTAAGGAAGCGATCATATGATGAAATGAAGGCTTTTGATAGACGGTGGAAGAGAGCCACCGAGGAAGATGAATGTTGGGTTGATCCTTTTAAATAACAACCACACCTCACAAACATCATTGTACAGAACAAGAAGAAGAAGAGAGATACTGCTTGAGAAAGAAAAATCTTTTTAAGAATTTTTTTAGTTTACTTCTGATTTTTTTTGGGTAAAAAGTTGTCACTTTTTTTATTTTTTTACAGTACAGTAAAATGAGTAGATTTTCTTAGAATTTGTTCATATGAGGGGAAATGAAGAGTTCCTTTCACTAGTTCTTTGAGTTAAAAGTGCCGTATTCCTTTGAATGATGATAATAGGTGTACATAAATTTGAAATCCTTATATGTGAATAATTAGTGAATATACTTTTGAATAAATTTTGCGTTTGTAATTGTGACATATTTATCACAAATAACTCTTTTTGGGATGGGAAATGCAAAAGAATGAAATGAATTAGTTACAAATGTGAGCTCATCTAAATCAACAAAAAGTCTTAATTTTCTTCGTCATAAACGGTTGGATAGATTGGTATTTATGGTGGAAGGAAATTAGAGTTTGTTGAGATTGCGTGAGAACTATGAGACAATCTATTCTCTCTAAGTATTTCGTATTTAGTGATAGCTGTCAATGTAACTATTCTTCCATATCTATTTTAAAAAAACTCCCTCCCATTCTAGAAACTTTTTGGGAGTACCCGACGACATAGTTTTATCATGTCCCACAGTGCCAATATTAAAAAAGTTTTAAAGATGGTATAACAAAATATTCTTATCACGTCTTGTTTATAAATTTTTTTAGGTAATTCTAAAATATATAATTTTTATTCTTTATTTCTATATCAATTTGTAAATATAATTTTTCGCATCAAATTGAACTACCATTCAAATATAATTTCAAAAAAAAATTACTTACTTTCTGTGTGATGACATGCTATAGAATACAAAGTATATAATTTGAAAATGAGCTTATAAAAGAATTCTTGGTTAAAAATTACTCCGTAGAACTATAGTTTCAAAAAATTATTCTCTGAATATGTTGGAGATAGGGAAACAACAAAGTGATGGTTCACAAGTGTACATGAATACTTTGTAATACCAGCTCCTTCTAGACTATACATTGTGCTATTAAAAGAAAGTAAGGAGACTAAATAGCCTAAATGGTACAAGTGCCAAAAGTTCTAGCACAGCCAAGCAGATAACAAAGAAAAGGGCAACAAAAAAAAATAGGATTAAACAGACAATCTGTGAGTTAGAACTTTTTAAAATTCCATTACTTTGGAGGACAGGTTTAGTAAAGGTTCAAGAGCACTGGGAGCAAACTTCCTAGCAAACAGGTAACAAATGTGTGTTTTCTTGGAGTTGTAGAAACACGACGAAGTGTCATTGTTCCTTATGCTCTCTAGAAACCCTTCGGTAATGTTGGCTGCTGCGTATGTTGCCGGGTGGGGCCCACCCAGAGACCAGTCGACGAAAGTCACCGAGCGGTTAGCGTTAGTGGGCCCATAGAACATGTGGAGATAAGTTGGAATGTAATGCTCGTCTGGGTAGCAAGAAGGGTGGCAATAACTCTTGAATAGGTTGTAGTATTTGGTGTCTGAAACTATTTTGATAGCCAAAGAACGGCCCATCTCGAACCATTGAGACCCTTTTCTCCAATCTGGAAGTTTGATATCCGGATTCATCCGACGGTTATAGCGACCGCGACCGTAGCGGGATGGGTCATCATACGATTCAACAAAGCTGTGGACTGATTCAGTGAGGTATTTGTAGACGGTGCGGAAGTTGTGAAGTGGGATACAGCTTTCGGACAGAAGAACGAACCGTTCGTTTGAAAAGTCAAGAAGAGCATTGGCTAGAAGACGCTTCTCAGCATCAACCAGTGATACTGATCCCCACTCAACTTTCTGAAAAAAGAAATAACTAAGATTAGTGTGTTGGCATAATAGTAAACAAATTAACAGTTTTTTAGGCATATTCTTGCACCCTTGCTTTGAAAAGACACAAATTTGATCCAAAAAGTTTATCAAGTATTTCAGGATGATACTATTACACGTGTGGAACGAGTTTTACATCGGCTATAGGACACTTTCAATCATTTGTTTGAGATTTTCGGGAAGGTATGAGCTTTTATTTTTGGGCAAATCGATCAAGGTGATGAGCTTTTACATGTTAGGAGTGGTGCTTATACCCCACCCCTAAAACTTGTTTCCAAGATGGTTTATAATGATTGACAAAAAGCATTTGGTACTACGCATTACGCGAATTTCACATTAAGCCCAAGTGGATTTTTAAAAGGAGATATTTTATGTGACACAAAAAGATCTTGAAACATAACTCTTTTTGGGTAGACTACAGATTGAGTATTATATGAAGAAAAGAGTCCATTAGATAAGTATAAAACTCAGTTTTACGGTAATAGTGCAATCAATGTCAGCTCCAGCTATGTTTATTCCCCATCTTACACCACTGTCCTTGTCAAGCAAACTTTATAAATGGAAGAATGGAACTAACTTAATTTTCGGAACATTTGACTCGAGCACAATGATATCGACGAATGTTTTAAAATGCCAATTGCATTCTATTCTTGGCATTTTGCCCAAATTTAACTTCTGGAACAATGAACTCGAGTATGATGGTGTTGATGATTGTTTTTTTAATGATTTTATTCAAGGGTTGAGATTTTCTTTTCAAGAATCGGATTCCAACTATTGGATTTTTATCACACTTGGCCACAAGCCAACAGTTGGAACACCATATGGAATATAATTTAGAAATAGAAGATATCATCCATATCTAATCAAAAGATAACTAGAAGAAGAATGCACCATTTCCTTAATATAGTTGTGACTGTTTGAGTGCTCTAGATAGTAGTACTCCATATAACACAAGAACACAAATTACTAAATTAGTCACATAACCTAAATGAGTGAAGCATCAATTAATAACAGAAAGTTACCTGACTTTTGATTTGGCGATTGTAGAAAACAGAGGTATTGGCCACACCGAGGTCATACCCTGGAGGGGCGTGCACATAAATCTCATACTTGTTCTTGTCCTGCCACTCAAAGAACCTTTCCCACAAGGGCATCATGGGCAATGCCCCTCTGGTCAAGAACATGAATGCCACTTTGGGCACCCTCCGAAAGGGGTACTCGTCCTTTGTAGGCACCATAGATGCCCTCCAGAACAATTCCTCGTCTCTCATATCGTGAACCAAGCTGCTCGGCCTGATAAAACCCTCCATGCTCAAACAATCATTGCAGACACAATTGGTTGCTGAATAGAACAAGGCTGTGTTTGTGTGGGGCTGTTGAGTTTGAAAGCTGAGGTATTTGTCAATGTGTGTGCTTGAAGCAAGCCCTATGACCACTCCAACCACAAAGACAATAAAAGTTGAAACCACTGCCAGTAGACTAATGGAATACCTTGATTCATCTTTTTCCCCTTTACTCCTCATCCTATATGCCCCTTTTCTTAGCCTTTCTTCCCTTGGGTTTCAACAGGATTTCCCAAATCCCAGTCAAGGCAAAAATCAAGTTTTTATCTAGCAGAAGACTAGGGCAAAAAAAAAAAAAAGAAGTCAAAATCCCTAGAATCTGCCGTTAAACACAGAAAATAAATACTTCGAACTTGGAGAAGAATCCTCTCGGGATTCAACGGGGGCCTAGAACCCCCCAAATCTCAGAATTTCTTCGACGCGATCTTCTTTGGACTGAAAATAAAGCTGAGGGTTGAATGAAAACAGTTCCGAGAAAGAAAAGAACAATGCTTGCTTCTACAGACTTGCTAGAAATATGGATCGGATTCTTCTGAGCTCAGAAACACCAGAACAGAACAAACAGGAAGATTTCCCTTCGTGGTCGGCGAAACTGCGAGCGGGGAAAGATGAAAGCGTGGGCGGATTTGGTGCACAAGAAGAGAGAAAGCTTCGGACTGGAACGCAGAAATGGAGGAGGATGTCGAGTTTAAGTCGAGGGGTGGGCGGCGTTAATGGGGGGTTGTTGGTAAGATGGAGGCGGAGGGCGGCAAAGCGTTGAAAAGGTCATCGGCTCCTCCATTTGCAGCCCCCCTTCACGTGTACTCCGTACACTGTAACGCCCCACTACCGGGGGAGCCCATTCACTGCTTTTCTGGCTCGATCTTTGGTTGTTTTGGATTGGTATAAGGTTTGTTTCATTAGGAGTAAGCCCATGTCTTGTGGGGCTTGACCCGAACGGACCATTACGCTCTGTCCCGAGCGTGGTCCGATGTCTAGATCATGAACGAGCCATTGGCAACGGCTTAACATTTCTCTTAATTATTTTGGGTAATAACCTTTGATTAACTTTCAATATTTTTACTTATTCTATTTCACAATTTTCTTATAACTAGTATAAAGACATTGCATGTTTTTTTAATATGATGTAATAAAGTGAATAGCATAGAGAAAAAGTAAGTGTATAATAACACATTCATTAAAAGCTTTTTGCAAAAAAAGAAATGAGAAAGAAATTTTTAGATAATTCTAAAAGAAAAGTGAGAAAGAACTGATGGAGTATAAATTAAAAACATTTATCCAACAATTTTTTTGTAAATTTGTAACATTCAAGATTATATTTATTCGTATTAAATTTTATTTTACTAATTAGAGCAATTCAAGTTCTTTATAGCATGAACAAATGAGTTGGAAAAAAACGTGAATACATTTAAAAATTGAAAAAAATTGGAAGAATTTAGAAAAACTAAAAAAATTAAGAGCTGAAATAAACTAGTAAAAGTTGTAAGTAAAACTATAAAAAGTTAGAAAGAACTTCAAATAGTTATTCAAATGTATCTTACATATCATTACTATTATTATATATGATTGTTATTATTATTATTATTAGTATTATTATTATTATTATTATTACTACTATTGTATACAATATTTAAAAAAAAATGAGTAAAATTCAACCATGTGAAAAGTGAGGGAATAGTAAAATTATTAAATTGTCTCTAGGAAGAGAGGGAATAGAGGGAATAGTAAAATTATTATTTTTAATTTAAAATAAATATATTTTCCGAGGTCAATTTAAATTAATAAATTGTTTCTAATTTTTAGAATATCTTTCAGTGTCATGTAAATAAAAAACAAAGCTATTTTCCCAATAGAATTATACTCTGTATTATTTACATTAAAATGAAAAAAAATAATAAAATAATAATGGGTGTGAATCATAATAACAGTGAAATGAGAAAAAAACTAAAATGTTAAATTTAAAAATTAAACTATAGTTATGAACGTATTAATAATAAAAATAACAACAATTATTTTCGAGCCATTATTTGGGAAGTAGAAAAGGATTGAAGAAAATGTGAAAAGTTGAAAAAAGTATAAGAAACTAGAAAAACTAGAAAAATTTTGAAAAAATGGAAGTTAAAAGTTTAAGCTCTAAAGAACATGTTCTTACTCCATACCTTATTTAGTATTTAAAAATCATTTTTTTACAAAATATTATGTTTACAATTATACCTTATAAGAAATTCAATTAACAAATTTAAATAGAATAACTAATAAATAGAGCCTAAATCAATAATAACTAGTGCCACGATCAACACGACCATTCACTGATGAAGAAGGTCTAAGGTACACAAAATATACACCAAGGTATAAAATAAGCAGGTACAGATTCTAAATGTATGTATACGCACAGACATTGAATGTCTTAATGTGTCTAATTTTGTCTTAGTGTATATATCTTGTATACTCCAAGTGAGATTCCTCTACCACTTCTTGAGCAAATAATTGGTGAACTCCACGTGGGGTATACTAAATATACACAAATACAAAAATAGGCAAATAATGAGAATTAATGTTTGTGTATAGACTTGGCACTATACAATGTCCATGTGTATATACCTTCACGGGAGAGGGGATACTTGTCACTATACAAGAATGGATTGTGGCATACTCATCTTCCCTAGCTTGTATCACTTTCCTTTCAAGACTCATTATTAAGATGGTATTTGGCACTGTGATTTTCAAGGTTAAGTTTGTGATTTAAGTGCTAATTATTTTATTCTATTTGACATACCAATTTCTATTTTTACACTTCTAGTGTATCTCTTTCGTATTTTATATGTCTAACACCAGTTTGAATGAGCGTAGATTTTGTTTTAACTTTTGTCAAAATCACTTTACTCAGTTTACTCACTTGCGTCTCTGAGTTTCGGCCGCCATTACGAGTTGGAAGTGGAAGACTGGAAGCCGTCAAGAAATTGCTCCCTCTTTCTCTTTGACTCATTCTCATTCTTTCACCTCTTAGCTCCCACTCCCACCACAGTCAAAGACTCCATCTTTCTATCCTCAAACTTTGAATTTTCCCTAAAACAAAACCAGATGGGCAATATGTTCGGCAAAGGTCCTCCTCCGGCGGATTCTCCGGCGGAACGATTCGACATTTCCGCCGATCTGGTTTCCTACCTGTCGGCGTGCGAGAGGGATCCGGACTTCAGAGCCTTCGATTCGACCCTCCGGGACCGCACCACCAGAGCCATCCACTCCGTCGCCGCCAACCTCGACGGCCGGACCCTCTCCCTCGACTGCCTCCGGGAAGTCACCGTCTGCTTCCACGACATGAACCACCAGGTGGTCAATTTCATTCTCGAGAGCAAAAGGGATGTCTGGAAAGACCCCGACCTCCTAGATCTGGTCAAGGAGTACCTCGACAACAGCCGCCACACCATGTCCTTCTGCACCGCCCTCGAATCCTCCCTCCACCGCGTCCATTACAGCCACTCCATCCTCAAATTCGCCCTCCAGAAGTTCCACGAAGAGACGACCCAGATCCAAAATCTAGGGTCCGACCCGACCCTTTCTTACCCCATGACTCTTGAGCAGCTCAAATTGTTCAAAGATGCAGGTAATTAATACATTAACAAACCATATCAAAGTTAACAATAATTGATTACTCTCTCCGTCCCACTATATTTGTCCACTTTCATTTTTGCACACCATCCAATGCACTTCTTTAATCCATTTTATCTTGTAATTTGTATATTAAAAAATTATAAAAATTATATATTAATAATCTATATGTTAAGATAAATCAAACAAGATCACACATGACTATATTTAGGCTTACACATTGAGAGAATTTGATGAGTCAAAGTGCTTAGATAAACAGTTCCAAAAGTCAAAACTGGACGAATATAGCGGGACGGAGGTAGTACATTCTAACCACAGCATTAGTTGAATGTAATCCAAGATTAGCTTTTTATCTTTAGTAATTTCGACATTGATCATAATTCGGTGAGGTTCTAGTGACAATCACGTTAGGTGACACTAGCGGTGCCACTGTCATTTTAGGGTACCTCCGGTGCTCCGTTAAAATTGACAATTCCTACCCCTAAAAGCCACCTCCTAAATGCCTCACCCTACCCCTGCACCCCACCCCAACACCGCCATAAGCCCCCACAAAATGTGTGGCTATTATACATTGCATAATAGCATTGCATAATAGCCACACATTTTGTAGAGGCTTACGGTGGGGTTGGGGTGCAGGGGCGGGGTTAGGCTGAGGGTTTAGGGGGGTGGGTTAGGAAGGTAGGTCGTTAATTTTACGAACGAAGTACCGGAAGTGCCTTAAAATGACAATGGCATCGGAGTGCCACCGTACTCGGGTGTCACTAGAACCACGGATCATAATTTCAAATTATGTTCCTATTACTTCTTCCTATGTTGTTTTGCATCTTTGCATGTGTTTGATTAGAGAAACTGATCGAACAGGTAACCCTTTCACGGAGAAGTTCTTTTCGCAGTTTCGTGTGATTTACACGAAGCAAGAATCAATGTTGAGAAAACTAAGGGAGAAGAAGAGGAGGCTAGACAAGAGGCTGCAGAGGAGGAAGTGCTGGAGGAGGATCTCCAACGCCATATTCGCGTCGGTGTTCGTCTCGGCCCTAATCTGCTCCGTGGTTGCCGCGGCGGTGACGGCGCCGCCGGTCGTGGCGGCGCTGGCGGCGGCGGCGGCGGCCCCGCTGGGGAGCGTGGGGAAGTGGATCAACAACTTGTGGAAGAAGTACGAGAGCGAGGTGAGGAGGGAGAGGGACGCGGTGAGCGCGATGGGGGCGTGGAGCGAGTACGTCGTGCTCCAAGACTTGCACAGCATCAATGCGCTGGTGGATAGGTTCGTGGTGGGGGTTGAGGGGTTGATGGGGGCGGCGGACTTCGCCGGAGGAGGGAGGGAGGCGGTGGAGATGGCGGTGGAGGAGATAAGGAGGAACGTGGAGGGGGTTATGGAGATAGCAGAGGTTTTGAGTGTGCATGCAGATGAGTGCAAGAAGCATATAAGGATGGGCAGAGCTGTCATTTTGCAGAAGATCAATGAGCAGCCTGCTGCTGCTGTTCCTTCTTCTTCTCCATCACCCAGTTGTTTGTTCTTTGGCTGAAACTCTTATGATTCTGGAGATTGGTATTTGGACCAACAAAGCCTATTTTGGTCCGTTTCAATTTTATTGCGGAGAAGTTGTAGTTAATTGCTCCCAGAATAAGGCTTCCTGCACAGCTTGGTCCATGTAACTTAATTTGGTCTGGTTCAAGAGCATTTGTTTATATGTAGTACGGCAATTTGTTTGTTTTCTCCTACAATTTTTTTTTGGGAAAGTATTTTTTCTCCCACAAATTTATTTTCCCCAAGGGAAAGCATTACCCTTAATTTTAGAATCATCTTCCTTCTTCCTCTCCATTCATAATATAGTCTTTCTGAAATGGTTTATTAACATTTTCTTTGTATTTTAAAAAATGAATAAATATAGATAGAAACGGGGGGTCATCCAATAATAAAGTTAACTAGATTTTGTGCGATGTAATTGACAGGGTGAGAAGGTAGTTTTTAGTAACACGATGTTTGGTTGAAAGATTTTTGAGAGGAAAAAAAAATAAAATGATTTTTTCTCATTTTTCTTATTAAAAATGCCAAAGTGGAAAAAATTTAGTCTTCCTTTCACTTAATATATTTGTTTTCTCATTTATTTTTTTCTTAGTACTTTTTCTTTTAAATCAAACTTGAAAAACTATTTCTTACTACATTTTTTTTCTCTCTTTCAATTTTTTTGAACCAAACATAGTGTATGATATTAGAACGTCAACTTTTTGAAAGAAATACCTTATGAACTCAAGACAGGGCAATCCTATGACAACGCTTTCAATGTCATGAACACCAAATTTAGTGACCAAACATATTGAGTATAGTTTTGTTGTAGTAGTTGAGATGGCAGACACCGATCGCCGGCATTGCCCTTTTTTATAGGGAGCATGTTCTATATATGTTCCCCTGCACCGCCGGACCATCGCCACACAAATGATGCTTTGATGATAAGTGAGACCAACACAAAAATAATGCCATCTTCGTCAGATTTCGCAAACAAATAAATAACACGTGTGTATTTTAATAGATCCAAAGCGTTTGAGCTAAAGTTTTTTGGTGATATTGTGAATCATCAAATTATTAATGCATAAATTTAATGTAAATTTTGAAATATTTTTTAATGTAATCTTAGCATAATTGAAAAAAAAATACTCCATAGGTCTTCCTTTTTGGCCTGGACAGTAAAATTACATACTCCGTACCATTTTTAGTTGATCACACTTCTTATTTTCTACTATTATTTGTAGGGGTGAGCATGGTACGGTATGGTACGAGATTTAGCTCGTACCGATACCGTACCAAATATTTCGGTTCGGTATGGGATTTTGCTCCGTACCAATCCCGATCTCGAAATATCGGTTCGGTATGGTTTGGGATGGTTCAGTATCGGTATCGGTACAAATCGGGATAAATATACATACCTACTTTACACATTAAAATTTAACAATACTCCTTTATTTTTGAAAATTAAAATTGAATTTAAATAAAAAATATGAAAAATTTTAAAAAAGTGAATATTTAAATGCAAGAGATGCGTATCAAAATTTAGTTTATATTTCACAAACTAAAAAAATGAATGACAACAAAAGAATATTTCAAATCTTTGCGAATACTTTTATGTTCATACACAAAAATTAAAACTCAAATAAAAGTATAATTTACACATTATGGAACTTGAACCAATTTTTTTAAAAAATTATTATCTAGTGAAGGAATATAAAAATATTACTCTGTGGTATTATTTTTATAATATTTTAGTATATATGTTCGGTACGGGATTTTTGGTATGGGACCATTGGGACGTCACCTCGTACCGTTCCCGAATACCGTACCGACCATTCGGTTCAGTACAGTTCAATTTCTTCTCGGTACTTTTTCGGTTCGGTATTTTTCAGTTCGGTATTCTCGGTTTTTTCGAGAAATTTCGGTATCGGTTCGGTACTTGCTCACCCCTAATTATTTGCTTCAGCTTTGATATTCGACACGCGGAGAACGTCCATCATATGTGGCGACATGTTTGTGTTAAACGTGTGAACAAAGAACATTCCACATTCCATGGCCATCCCCTCCATATTCAATTCCAAGCGCAAATTAGACCTTAAATTTCATCATTTTTTCTTTATTTTAATTTCGGATCCTCAATCCAGATTTTTAAGGCATATGAAAAATGAGTTTTGTTGTCTCATTCACTCTCGAATTTTTTAAAAATTACAGAGATTCCTCATACACTTTAAAAATTATACTAATGTATTCTAAATTTTTAAAAATGTTGCATCAAAAAGCTACTCCCTCCGTACTAAAACTTTCTTCCCGGTTCGCAAAACGAAAAAAAATCCCAAGTTTTTTCAATCTATTTTATTTAAATATTGGTATAGAAATAAAAAATAAAACATACATATTTAAAAACTACATCAAAAGTTCAACAAAACAAGTGGTGACAAGAATATTTTATTTTATCATATAGGCCATGAAAAAACAAAAATAAATATAAATTCCCGTGAAGTTGGAATAGTGCTCTGGGAAGAAAGTTTTAGGACGGAGGGAGTAGCGCATAAAGTTTAAAGAATCATTTTTCTTTATTCCATGCATTATATTCTAAAACAAAAAATTGAATCATTGACTCCATTGGAGATGGTGAAAAGAGTTACGAGCATTATAAGTTCATCTTTTCAGAAATGTTCTTCCTATTTACGGAGTAATTTTTAATAATCTCCAATATTACACTTTGACCATTAATATTTATATTTAGATATAAATATATTTTACAAAAATTTGATATTTTCAAAACTATGTGTCAATAAGAATACATTGGTATTCAATTTACATCATAATATAATGTACTTTTTTCATGCATCAAAATCAAAATTTATAAACTTTAACAAAGAAAAATCAAATAAGATCATTCATGAACAAAAAGAGTATAACCAAGTAGATTTTATAACAACATGGTCGGGAGAGTCATTAAAACCAAAAAGTCATTGGTTAAATTTGACAATAAAATTAACGTTTTCAAATTTAAAATTATTATCTCACGAAGTAAAATTAAATTTTAAAAATGCTAAATACTCCGTATAAAGTTTGATATTGGCAAGAATCCCCGAAATTAAAATTTCCACATAGCAAAACGACAACTTAGCTTTCTCATCATCATATAAATAGAGGAGACCATTTTGCAGCGTCCCTGCAACAATTAAAGCCTGGAGCTGCTCATCAAAAGCTTTCTTCTTTATTTCATTAATTATTCAAGAAAAATGGAGTTCAAGAGAAATCTGGGCCGCCGGTTTCTGAGAACCTGCAGAATCGGAAACCATTGTATGACCGATTGCCGTATCTCAACGTCTAGGGTTGCCGTCAAAACCCGTATTCCGCCGGGTCCCGAAAGAATCCCCCCGGATTCGCTTGACGATTCCGTGTTCCGCCGCTTCATGCACCGCCGCCCCGGATACGAGCCGGCCGGTTTGCCGCCCTTCCCGGTGTCCGGCGAGAAGCTGATGGAGAAACTCCGGGGGATGGACATTTCCAGCGACAGGATCCGGCTGGACGGCCTCGTCCCTCCTCCGCCGGAGTGCAGTCTGACGGTGGTTGACGCGCGGAAGCTCCTCCGGTTGTCGCAGCTTGAAGCGGTGAAAGCGAAGCTCAGGGGAATCGGGAAAAATCACATTTCGTATTCCCAGTTTATGGGGATTTGCGGGGACGGCTGTTCAAATCCCGATCAAGGACTTGACATCGCCAAAACGTTGGACGATTCCGGCGCCGTCATCGTTCTCGGCAACGTCGTTTTCCTCAAACCTCACCAGGTCAGTTTTCCAGCCACATATCCCATATCTCTATCACATCGTTATCGTCATTTTCATCCGCTAAATGGTACGATTTGTACAAGAATACGAGGAATTAAACACCAATTTACTCGAAATTTCTTCAATTTCTCCTCAAATTCTGCCCAGATTGTCTCGATGGAGAACTGATATGGTTTCTATGTGTTGTTGTGTGTGTTTTTCTTCGACAGGGAAGTGAATCAATCAAAGTTTCGACAGATCTATAAACGATGAGATGGCGGGATCAATGAGCGCAGATTGTTTTACAACCCACACTTTGATTAATTAATTAATTGAACACAAATTATTTCATAACCAAACCCACTAATCCAATTTAATTCTAAATCATCATTTTCCCTAACCCAAGGGCTTCCATTCTTTAATTTATTCATTTGAACTTTAGGAAAATGCAGAGTAAAAATACTGCACAAGATCATGAGTTGAAGCCATTATATGCTTATAATTGTTTTACCCAAACATCTGGCAATTCGCATACATATATTCGTGTTCTATGATTGCAGGTTGTGAAAGCCATTGAAGGTCTAATCCCAAAGCTGAATGAGGAGGAGGAGAAGGATGGTGATCCCAGAATGGATGAATTTCAGAGCATGGAGAAGCAAATGAAAGCAATAGAGAAGAAAGCAGAATCAATGGCAAGAAGGGAGCTTCGGGCAGGGTTGGGCTATCTGGTGATTCAGACAGCATTGTTTTTGAGGTTGACATTCTGGGAGCTGACATGGGATGTAATGGAACCCATTTGCTTCTTTGTCACCTCTGGCTACGCCATGGCTGCCTATGCGTTCTTCTTAAGAACCTCAAAAGAACCATCTTTTGAAGCCTTCTTCCAAGCCCGTGTTGGCGCGAAAAAGAAACGATTGATCCAGCTTCAGGGTTTCGACACCCACAAGTATCATCAGCTCAAAAAGATTTGTGATCCCTCTTCTTAATTCCCTGTGATGGTACGATAATAACATAATAACTTCACACAAAAGCTTTTCCAGATTCTCTTTTTCCTCCTCCTGCAGCCTTTGGCTCCATTTGTCGACAAAGTTTACATTTTGGCTGGTGCAGCGGCTCTGTATGTATATTATTGATGAAGAGATTGAATGAATGTGCAATGACTTTGAGTTTTCTTTCTTCATCACTCCATTTCACCGGCAAAAAAGAGCTCAATTCTTTCTTTTTTGTGGACTGAATTAGTAGTCATTTAGTCACCCTTTTATAAAGATATGTTAAACAACATGTTTTCACTTAAAAGGTTATTAAACAATTTGAATGCAACAGTCAAAGATATAAATAAACTCCACGTTTTTTCTCCAATCTTAAAATAAATTTCACATTTTTGTTATTTTCTTATAAAGAAAGAAATGCATAGCTCCCAGCATTAATCTTCCTTTTAAACAATTTCTAAAAACACATCTCTTAATTTTTTTTAGCACTTTCTTCTTCAAATAAGTGAAATCAAACTATTAAGCTTATTATGTAGTGTAAAGTTTATTATGTGACAAATGTGCCACTCTATACGATTGGTTTAAAAATAAAGTTTTCAAGTATCTACTCTGCACATAATAGTGGCACATGGAATAACATATTGTCATATATTCCATCTATCTATTTTACAATCGATTATGAATTATTAGATACTGAGTATATTAGATTTTAAATGAATGAAGACATAGAATACGGAATAAGTACATGCATGTCCCAATGTGACATGTACAATGTTTAAGAATCAAAGTGTCAAATTAACATTTTCTTTTGGGAGAATAGGATGGGGCATATACAAAAGGCATTCATTTCGTAGGTTATTTAAGGTGGTGCGATTCTTTTGGGGATTTTGAAAGAGTAATTGGGCGATGGACGGAGGCATAAACCAGCCACTGATGTGACTTTTGTGGCGACAACATATATGATGTGGTTTCAATGGTTAACTTTAATTTAGCTCTACATTCTTTTTCTAACATTAAACAAAAATAATCAAAACTCTATAGTTGATTGATTCTTTAATATATACTTCCTCCGTCCATTAATTTTTTTCCATTTTTTAGAATGTCCAAAAATTTATTTCATTTTTCTATTTTGGTAATTTTTTTAATGAATATATCACAACACCCACACTTTTCAGTTACACTATTTCTTTTATTATATCACATAAAGAACAACGTAAAAAGTTTTTACAGTTTTTAACTTTTCTTAATCTCCGTGTCAAATGAGAACGAGAAAGAAATTATTGAACGTATAAAATTCTCGTAGTTAAGTCGGTCGGTAAGAGCAGTGGTAATGGCGCAAAAAACCATTTGCCTTGCTTGCCACCTCAGCCTTAAATTGCGTTATGCATATTGAACGTTTCTCCACGCCTGGGAAGTCATACGTGAGGCATTTGTATCCAAATGTTTATTTTTTTTAATTTTTTTGTTATTTTAAAAAAAATTAAGAAGAAAGAGAAGTATCTTTGTAAAAAAATAAGTAAAATAATTTCTAATAATTAAAATGCATCAAAAAAATTATGAAAAAATGACAAAAATAATGATTTGTCGCTATATGACATACGACTCTACCCACTTGTCACTTGCTGACTAGACCATTTTTCATTGATTAAAATAATACGGAGTATACATCAGTGTATAATACTTAATTTTTGTCTCGCCATTGCTGATAGTCTAAACTTTATTTTTTAGAAGTTTCAAATAAGTTTTAAGTCTAACAACAACATGTTCATTTAATAAAGATGTACAAGTGGAGTTTTCTCATTACTCCATCCGTTCGGCAGTTCCATAATTATTTTCTTACTTTTCTTTTGCATCCATTCAAAATAACTTTTTAACTTTTTCTTCTCATTCTAACAAGGAATATGATGTCTAAAATATCTTTCTTTAAAAAGAAAACGAGTTATTACAATCACTCACAACTTTAATTTATAATTTTACTAGTATTTTTACCCGTGCAATGCACGGGATCGAACGCATGTTATTTTTTAACTCTACTAATTTTTTGTTTTAAAAAATAATTTAAAAATAAAGGTAAATATAATATAGAATGTTAGATACAACATAATCATAGTATGCTAACTTAAATTCATGTATATAGAAATTGAAAAGAATATATAAATGTATTAATCAAATCCAATTTTTTTTGGAAAGATTCAGGGTAAAACTCATTTTTTGTGCAATTGCAAGAATTATCGTTGTCATCTAAAACTAATACGGAGTAATTTCTATCCTTTCTTGATTTTCACCCGTGAAACTGCAAGTCTGCAACATAAAGTGGACCGAGGCTGAATACCGATTTGGTATAGTTACAGTGTTTTAGCATAATCTTTTCGGTTCGGTTTTCTTGATTTTTTCAGAAATTTTCTGCATCGGTTCGGTACTTGCTTACCCATAATATAAAATATAAAAGTAACATGACTTTTAAATGAAGCATTTCATTTAAATGTAAAATACAAATGATTTAAGCTTGCTAAATTTTTTAACTATTTACTTTTTCTCCCTGCATAAATTCAAAAAAAAAAAACATTATATCTTATAATTTATCTCCTCCGCATTAATTCAAGAAAACAATGAATTACTATTTGAAAAAAACATAAATCTTCTTGCCTACATTAATTCACATTACCAAAAATGTATGATTCCCCCGCATTAATTCCAAAAAAAATGGTTTTTTTCTCGATCTCCCGTATTATGTAAAATTTGAACTAAATAGTACTAAAATATATTTCATTTTTCAATGTAGTATTTAAACGTTTTTATTCTCTAAATATAACTTAAATAATATCTATTGATGGTGAAGACTTAGTTTGAACAATGTTCAATGGCGCTGAATATTTACTTGAACAATGACCAATGGACAATGATCAGTGGTTCTACATTGAGAAATAAAAACATATAGTATTACATTGAGAAAATTACTACTCCATATTTTAGTATTATAAAACTTGGATAAATGATCACATGACGTTATGATAAATAAATTAATCTTTAAAAACTACAATGATTCTTCTCCCGTATGAGATAAAACTCGAGCTTGTGCACCATACATGATTTTTGTGGCTACATGATTTATGTGACAGTCCACCGTTCCCTTTTTGTCTATCCCAAAAAGAAAATTGAGGAGTTATTTTATTTGATGTGCTTGTACTTTTCATTTCCAAGATAAACTATCTTAACATCCATATCAAAAGAGTTAATTACACTTTGAAAACACTCTATTAGGCGAATGGGGAAAATATGTTTTAAATATGTTTTATTATCTTGTCATAAAGGGATTGTGCACCAGTAAGCAACCCTAATTTGCATCCAAACTGGGGAAAAAATTAAAGCAATAACAAAGCATATGTTGAAATAAATAGTATATATTTTACCAATGAAAAATACTAAACTAAAGCAATATGACACATTAAATTTAACATCTTACTTATTGCAACGTCTTGGGTAGTAGATAATGCACCAGTGAGTGCAACTTTTTTCACCATAGTAACATAAAAGAATACGGAGTCCATTTATATATAAAATAATATAAGCAAAGGCAAATACTGACTCATCTCAAAACTTCAAGCAAAACTCATGTCTTGGAGTGCAATAATATCCACTCTTATTGCCGCGCCAAAATAAGCAAAGACATATACCGAACCTCCCTTTATTCTCTTTTCAAATTTCACACCAAGCCTTTTCAAATTGTGGCATGGATAATAGTTTCCTACACAATCTCCAAAAAGATCATAATCAATGGATATATTTATATATTTTATTTTTTTAGATTCATCCCTCCATCATATGTGTTTCTTTTCACATTTAGAAATAATTACATAACAATCTTACACTGAGTCACTGAGACTCACTTGAACAATAACAATGGAAAGATACTGAGTGTTGAGGCAAGGCAAATCCAATGCTCTGATTGAACCAAATGTGTGTATTGAACCAATATACTCAAATAACTGTGTAAAATAATTGATTGGTTCAACATTGAAAATACACTGTTTAGTTAACAGAATCTTGAAACACACAGAAGATTGGGTCTATAAACACTCTTAACATAACACTTTTTTAAACAATAACAATGGAAAGACACTGAGCGTTAAACAAATATAATGCCAGTATTCTGATTGAACCAACTGAGCTTATTGAACCAATGTATTAAGGCATCTATGCAAAACTATGTAATATACTAACATATAGGTGAATATGTTGCAATGCTACGAAGTTTTGATTCAGAATTCTGTTATGGTATCATTGGTATGTTTGGAAACATGGATTTGGATTTCAAATCTGGATTTAGCTCAAATTCCATGTTTGGGAAACTTAAAAATTTTGAATCTGGATTTGAGTCAAATTCTTCTCTTCATAATAAAGCTTAATTTAAAACCCATGCAACTCCTTAGATTAGTTCCATACCATTTTGCAGAAATGATTGTTGTGATTTATATATTCATTGTGTTGGATTGTAATTTTATGGCGGAATGTCTATGACTGTTTTAGCATGCTTCATATAATTTGTTTTTGTTTTATATGTTTTCTTACTGCAAGTAGATTGATTTTTTAGGACTTACTTTCTTTTAAGCATGATTATTCCTTGAATATTCTTATTGCTGCTGGACCTCATTTGTTCAGTTATTAGTCCTTTGTTCTAACTAAACCATATGTGTTTATTGAACCAATTGACTCAAATTACTGTGCAGAATAGTGAATTGCTTCATGAATGGAAAGACACTGATCTGTCAAAAGAAAATTGGAACAAACAGAACATTGGAAACACTTTATTAAACAATAACAATGGAAAGACAACTGATTGAACCAACCTGTTAATTGACTAAACCAACTCATTGACACAATTGTGCAAAATTCTTGATTGGTTCAAGATTAGAAATTCACTGTTTGGCTAAAAAAACTTGAAGCACGCACACCATCAATTCATCAAACACAAACACTCGCAAATAAATACTCAGAAATATTGATTTAGAAGAACTTTGAAACACGGGTTATATAATCATTGGTTCAATAAATAAAAGAAACACGCATGTAATGATCTACTTACGTGTTGGTCCATGAGTACCGTCTCAATTGAATCCATCCCCTTGTCATCATTGTACGTCGGCAAGGTATTCAGTCGAATCACCCAAACCAAAACTCTTCAACATTCACTCGTCAGAGTGATCTTCAACAAAGGGTAAATGATTTTGGAAGACATATCAAATAAGCAAAGGAATTAGATCGCTGAAGTTTATAATTTGATTTATAAAAACGCAACTGGAAGGTTGACCTGTCTAGATGGGTCTCTAGGTGGAAATAGAAACGAAAAGTGTTTTTTCACCAAAAAAATACAGAGTAATTAGTCGACTTTTTTTCACTCTGAGTCCGCTTGGGCAATTCTACAGAGTGGAGATGAGTATTTACTGCTACATAATGTCAACTATTCTAAGAACATACGTAATATATGAAGTATATGATTTCAAAACAAATTCAACAGAGAATATATGGTGGATTGCATATGTGAACTTTTCAATAAAAATTATTCTTCTTTCTACCACTATACTCACATCAAATACAAAATTCCAAAAAAAAAAATTATCGGATTGCATGTTTGAAACCAATAATTAGTGGAAACCCAAATTATAATTTGAGCATCACAATTGAATTGCAAAAACCTGGAGCAGCTCCGTCTGACCTTAGTCATTGTCATTCATCCGCCTTCGTTCAAAGCTACACTGGCGGACAAACTGTTGGCGCTGATCCAGATCTGAGGTTCTTCAATTCGAACCTAGAGCTAAACGTAATCTCAAGACCGGATTTATCTCTACTGTACAGAAATACAAAAAAATCAAAACAAACCTAATTTGTAGACTTTCCTTCGCGAAGATGGAAGTTTCTACTTTTGCACTTCTTAAATCCTTGAGTAAATATGAGAAAACACATATTTCATGCGATGTAGCAGGAAAGGCGAGATCTTCCTAGTCTGAGAAATTTATTTCTTCCGGTTGGATGGCACGGCAGCTGAAGCCCTATGAATGAAAACGAACAAATTAAAGACGCGTGGAGGGCTGATGTGGCATTAAAATAAACCATCTTTAAGTGACACATGTCATCATTCTCATTAATCAACTCTCAAATTTTATATTAAAGGATATATAAGATTAGCAGATTACCCTATATATAAAGTACAACATATTCTCGATAACATATTATCGGCCAGGTGCGTTTTGACATTTTTCACTACACCTCTTATATAATTGTATAGGTGTGTACTAAAATATCCATTGATGACCCTATATTATGGTATATGATCACGTCAATGCTCAAGTAAGTTATGACATTATATGTATGCCTAGTTCATTCCCAAACCTAAATATGGTCTCGAGTCTCCCTTGATGATGTAACTGAGGTTTTAGACTTACCAAAGAGACCAAGAATCATAATGCATGTTTAAGTCAGAAGTAATGATAATTATTACACCTAACCATAACCTGAGCGAATCAATATAATTTGTTCTTTAAAACCTTTATGCAGGATGATGCCTCCTCAGTTGAAATACCTTGTGTCACTGCCTTTCCACCAGTTGAAAATCCAATTGTGTTTTCAACCTGTATTCAAGATAAGAGAAAGATATTACTAATATAAAATATTCAATCTTGTAACATATAAATGTTTTTAACTTTGACTAAATTTTAATATTCTAAACCTAAGGAGTGAAGAACGTAGTGTGAAAATCCATAAATTTTGATATGATTCAATCATTAAAATATACGTCCATCACATGGTATGATGGCTGAAACTCATTGAAGCTTGAATACCTGACCTCAACCTTGAAAATAAACGATTTATCCACCAAAATTTGATTGAAGAGATCGCGCTGCACGCTTCCTCACTATACATCCTCTGACAGTATTTATGAACATCAATAAGGGAGATTTCAATATCTTAAATGGTGTTCATAAACTTCAAAGGAAAAGTTTAATAAAATTAAGCAAGATATATCAAACACTAAACATTTAATGAGTCGGTTAGATAGTATAAAAGACAGTTGTACATACCTCACAGAACTTCATCATCTAGGGTGTGGATTTATATGCAAACAACAAACATCTAACGTTCTCAAATATTAGAAAACTTACACTATCGATTGCATAATTTACTCTAGCCTTAATTTCATATCTGGGTATATTCAAACCACGATCAGTTCCCAAAGTATCTGAATCTAACTTATTTAAAATGAGATTTTTTTATGGAAGAAAGAAAGATTTATGTTTTTAGTTTGATTTACCTTGGAATCACATTTACTACGTGTTTTTTTACAGTCGTTGCAAGAGTAAGAGACATTATGTGGGGCCACTTTTGACCCACAACTACACGTTGGTACAAACCAATCTGCTCTATCATCAACACCCTTGATGGCATTGTATACTGTGTATTCTCCATCTTATGTGTTTTAATAGCATCAAAATTTAGGATCCAGTATCTTTAAAGATCACATGTATACAATAAAAATTAGATATATTTGCACCTAAAGTCTAAACTTCAACTTGAAGATTATCAATTTATGTATACAGAACATATTCAAATATCACAAAGCAGTAAAATTAAATATGGAAAAGTGATTTTTAATTCATTGGTTGTTTGAGAACTTGAAAATAAAAAATTATTTCAAAGGAAGGAAATTACCACTTTAAAATGGTGGTGTCGTTGTTGTGGTGTGATGTTATTGACCTATTGCAAGTATCCAAAGCAGAGACATTATCACTACATCAAATAAAAGAGGAAGAGAATGAAAGATCTTGTCATACATATAAAAAAATTCAATAGAAAAAGAAGAGGGTGCAACCCCTGGCCGTAAATCCCTGCAACACCCAAAAGTTCATTTGAGCTAACAATTTTTAGTATAATGAATACAAATAAATCAAATTTGGTAGGATCAAATGGGACGGCATTGGGACTAAAACCTTATTAACTCCTGATACTTTATTTATTTTTTACACACAAATGACAAATTCTAGCATAAAACAAAACACATAATAAAATAAATGAAAGCAAAAGTAGAAGCAAGAGCTAGCTAACCGCGAATGAGATTGAAGAGGTTGCCATTAGGTTCATGAAACTTTTTCTTCAAAAAGTGTTTGGTTTTTCATCAAAACACTAAGAGTGGCACATACGGGGAATGCTAACATGTAGTCTTAATTGTTTAATTACCAATAGTTAAATAATCAAAATCAAAATGTAATAAAAAAAGGCACAGTGTGAGAACACAACATTGCTGGATAGTATGAAGAAAATTAACGATTCAAATGCTTACAATGTGCTTCAAATTGCAAGGTCAGAGGATGTTAACATTTTCACTTTACCTTCATCCTTGGTGAAGTCAAACACTCAATAAATGATTTGTTATGAAAAAGACAAATTAAAACCAACATGGGAGCATTACAACAACCCAATACAATCCCCTATCTGAATGTGGGAGTAGTTTATTAAAACCAATATTTTTATATGAATTTGATCAAAGGTGGTGTTAACCAATGCTTACTACAATTCCCAATCTTTTTGCTAACTGAACACAGGGGTCACACCATACTTACACTTATGATTAATGCTACCTAGTCTATCCACCAACAAAGTCCACTGCCCACTAATCTCCCTATATATACAAAGAGAAAAGCACAATTAAATTTTAAGTTAGTACAGAGTAAATGAATAAGGTGAAGAATAAATGAAACAAATTTACAAAATGGGTTTTTCATCATAATTCAAATAAGTAATTTTGAATTCCAAATCCTCCATTCAAAATATCTAAAAATATAGACTTTGAATAATTTGTTATATAAAAAAGAACCTCTTTGTCCAGTGGCGATGAGACGGAGAAGAAACGGGTGATGGATCTGGGCGGACAGAAAGATGAACAGCTGATTCGTTTTGCGCTCGAGGGGACGACGACAGAGAAGATGACGTCAAATCCTCAAAAATGTTCGATCTCTTTTGACGATAAATCTCCATTCTCAATTTGGAATTTCAATTTTGGTATTTTGGATCTGAATTAAGAGAGAAATTGAGGCGCATATTCGGTTTCCTTCAGCGAAGAAGAGAAGACGGAATAGAGAGCTCAGATCTCCCGAATCCAAAGGTTTCCTTTTAAATGGAGAAGATCGGGGAAATTGAACTCTTTCCTTCGACGAATAAGAGAAGGTAAGGGTAGATTCTTGGGATCGTCTTGGATTGCGTCCTTGAATTTGTATCCCGAAGAAGATTTACACGGAGAAACAATTTCTTTCCTTTTGATCGCGTTTGTGAGTTTGCGTCTGTGAAGCTCTGGCTAATTAGGCGGAAGAAGAGACACGTGTATAGGCTTACTTGTCAACATAATAGAACTCTAAAATTGACACATGTCCATTCTAAACATCCAACTCTCAAATATTATATTAAAGGATTTAATTTTTCTGTAAATTTAAAATGAAAAAAACTACGGATTAATTTAGACGATAGGAAGTACCATTTGGGCTCTTTATTGGGTATATTGATATAAATATGTTATTTGGACCACTAATCTGGTCCAAGCTCCTAATTATCCAATATAATAAGCCTACGGCCCGAATGCGTTTAATTGTCAATCTCGCTAAAAGTCCATGTTCATTAATAATAAGGCTGGACCACACCATAAAAGTTAAAAACAAGGCCGAATGGAATGTCTACAGCTATGAGTAGGCAGCACTTTAATTAACCCGTTTTTTGGGCCGATTAGGAATCACGTGGACCACATGCGACTGTTAACGGTTAAGTCTTTATACAGAAATGACAGCCCCATTAATGATGATTAATTAATGAATGAATCTCCTTTCAAATGTTATGTTCTTGTGTTTTCTTGCACCAATTTTAAGACAAGTGATACTCTCTTGTTTAAATCTATGAATAATATTTATAGAGATTAAAAAAGAGAAATTAAACCATAAAAAAAATTCTTGTACGTGATAGGATATTAATTCAATTTTTCAAAGATTTGTTAGAGGGAAGATTCTAGAGAATTCAAAAATTAGTGGATATGTGTAGAATTTTCTAGAATGTTGTGGAATTTTATAGAGAAGTGAAGTTTCTAGAAATGTGTAGAATAGTGTCAAAGTTTCTACAATTTTCTAGAACTTTCTAGAGAAGCGTGGAAGTCTATAGAAGCGTGTGGAAGAATGCAGTGTACTCTAGCCTATTGTAGAACTATGTGGAGTCTTCTAGATTCATCTAGAACATTATGGAAGCATGTGGAAACTTCTAGAAGATTCTAGAAGATTCTAGAGATAAAGAGATATGTGGAACATTCAAGAAGCCTAGCCTTGGTGAGGAGTATAAATCGGGGTGTGGATGCCTCATTTTTGCAATGAATGTGGAGGAAGAAGAGAGTGAAGAACCAAAATGGCTTCTTAAGAGTGCTTGTGAGTGAGGTGTAGAGAGGTGTTCCTAATACAAAGAGTGAAGTGCATGTGCTATCCGTGTAATTGTAATATCTCTTGTACATTTTTTTCTATATAGTACAAAGTCATTTTCTAAAGTCGTGTTTTTGTATTATTGAGTGTGTGTCAGTGTTTGTGAGTGTGCGAGAGTTTGGTTGTGTGAATCGGGGAAAGAGGTCGAGACAACCGTCAATTTTCTAACAGTACGGAGTTTATATTTTTTTTACTCTGTATCTTTTTAGCATTTCAACATAAATCTTCATTTCTATCTATAACCGGCTAGACCTATTAAGAATTCCAGTCTCTAAGTTTAGAAAATCAAATATTTCTAATAAAACGTTAATAAAAATTCAATAAAAAATAAAATTTCAACATACATATTCATTATTTTGTCTCACTATTGCCAGCAAAGTATCGTGTTTTATCCCTCTAAAAGTTGAAGTGTATCTATCTTATACCTGCTTCTCATATTATAGATTAATTTTTATGTAAAAAGAGTAAAAATAGAAGTTAAAATTAGGGATAACAACATGTCGGGTTGTAATCGGGTGAATATTCACCTTCATCCATCAATAGTCCATTTATCATCCATCCATTACCTTTTGCCATTATCTTCTCGTACTCATCGGAGTTTGTGTCCATCTCCAGCCATATATGATGTCATCCTTTTTCCCAGATCATTGGTTCCACGGCGGAGATGGATGACGTTCGATGAACTCAAGGAGACTGCAGAAAGTAAGAAGAGGAAGGAGATCATTATTAATAAAATGATTGAGTCAAAAAAAGGGCTTTTCTAATTGGGATTGTGGAAAGGTCACTGGCCACCTTTTATTTTTGAAGCATATACCAAACCATTATTGGTCACTAAATTAAAGAAAATGTAAAACCAAAATTGCCGACAAAATCTCTCTCTACTCTGTACTCTGTTCTATACCCTCCTCCACTCAAAACCTACTCCCAAAATCTCTTTAATAATTATTCTTATTATTCAATTTGTTCATCACCACATAATGCCAAACTCAACCCTGGACAAAACATTACTGCTCTCTCTAATTCTTTTCTTCTTCTTCTTCATTATCCAATGCCCCATTTTGGCCCTTTCCTCAAATCCCCAATTCAGAGAGGCCCCTCAGTTCTACAATTCCCCATTTTGCCCCTCCCTCTTCTCCCCCGCCGGCGTTTCAATTCCCGGCCTCTGCTCTGACAACGCCGTGCATATAGCCATGACCCTCGATTCGGCTTACCTCCGGGGATCGATGGCCGCCATTTTCTCCGTCCTCCGCCACTCTTCTTGCCCGGGGAACGTCGTCTTCCACTTCGCCGTCTCCGCCTCCGGCGACGGCGCGTCTTCGCTCGGCGCCACCGTCGCCGAGTCTTTCCCTTATCTCCGGTTCCGGATTTACCCCTTCGACGACGCCGCGGTTGCCGGGCTGGTCTCCACTTCCATCAGGGAGGCTCTGGACTGCCCCCTGAACTACGCGCGGAACTACCTCGCCGACCTCCTCCCGACGTGCGTCCGGCGAGTGGTTTACCTGGACTCCGACCTCGTACTGGTTGACGACGTCGCCGAGCTGGCGGCCACGCCTCTGCTTGAGGGGCAAGTCCTCGCCGCGCCGGAGTACTGCGACGCGAACTTCACGGCCTACTTCACGCCGACGTTCTGGTCAAGTCCTTCTCTTTCCTTGACATTCGCCAACAGAAAGGTATTGTCGATCGATTCGTTCAATCTAACATGTGGAATTGTTCAAAACTTACGAGTATCATTTTCGGCTGGTTCGGTACAGTCAATATTTCTTTTAAAAAAAATAGATAAAGGTTAATGTTTTGAAACTGTTATCTTACACAACTTTTTAATGTTAATATTTTTATAATTAATTTACACCGTTAAAATTTACTACTTTCATTTCTCAAAAGAGTTCTTCTTTTGACTTTAAGGGAAAATAAGGAATTGTTAAATTGTAGTTGACTTTCCAATTTTGCTCTTGATGTGATGGGTAAAAATAAGATGTGATAGTTTAGTTGTTAGTGAAAAAGTATGATGTGATAGGTATGGTATGAAAAAGTATGGGTAAAAGTGGTTTTTAATAGAAAGGGGAAGTGTTTTGAGAAAAACAAAAAAAAATAAAAGAGGAATGATTTTAAGAAACGGAGGGAGTAAAATTTTATCTAATATACTTACGCTAATAGAAAACTCTGTTCAGCAAGGCATAAGTATAAAAAAAGGGAGTACAAATTTTATACATAGAACTACTGAGTATACACCAATTTTATATGTATCGTTTTAAACCAGAAGCGTTCTCGACCCAAATTGATATTTATCCAAATCAATATCCATCTAAAATAAATTACAAAATCGAATCAAAATGAATCCGAACCAAAATGATTGTGCCTATTTAGACTTCAAATTGAGGACGCTAGTACATTTATTTTCTTGGAGTGGTTTGTGATTGAGAGACACTTATGATCATGTTTTATTCTCTCTCACATCTTTGACTCGATAATTAATTGAGTGATAATTATCGAGTCAAAGATGTGAGAGAATAAAATACGATCATAAGTGTCTTACAAGTTACAATCACAAATCACTTGTTAGCTTCTTAGATTGTTCACTTGTTAGCTTAACGAATTAGATTGTTCACTTGTTAGCTTCTTAGCTAGAGTGTTATCTGTCCCTCTAGAGCCGGCCTTGGAGATAGGCCCAAAGGGTGGTTCCCTATGGCCCATTCCCAAAGGGACTCGTAATTTTATTTTCTTAATGGTACTATTAATGTGTTGTAAAAAACTATTAGTTCAGTTTTCAAGCTTCTACGTTTAGATGATCATGTGATAATGCTGTTTTTAAAGTTACTTGAAAATTTTGTCTATGTTTTACGCCTAAAAAAGGTTGTGATGATAAAGAGTTTTTTTTTTTGAGAAATTTATCTTTAAATAAAAAAATTCTTAGGAAAATTTCATCATTTAGTTATTTTATTCAAATAATTGAATAAGAAAAGTTCGCATCGCAATTTTACCATTAAGTTATTTATCCAAATAATTAGGAGAAGCTTGATAATAACATATTAAGAGATATTTTGCATTATTATATAGACAATTAACTTGTAAGAGAATCAAATCACATATATATTTCTTAATCTTATTGATCTTAAAATTAAGTAATAGTGAAATTAGTGATCGATAAAAGTGGTTTAGGGTGAAGTGATGTGATCTTGGGTTAAGGTTAATTAATTAGCATGATATATAAGAGTAATTACGTCCATAGAGTAATTAGTAATAATATCAGGCGTGCTACTTCAACACGGGAGTAATGGTGATGGATCTGGAGAAGTGGAGGAAGGGAGATTACACCACCAGGATCGCCGAGTGGATGGAGCTCCAGAAGAGGCTAAGAATCTACGAGCTGGGGTCGCTGCCGCCCTTCCTCCTCGTCTTCGCCGGAAACATCGCTCCGGTGGATCACCGGTGGAACCAACACGGCCTCGGAGGGGATAACTTCCGAGGAGTGTGCCGGGACCTGCACCCCGGCCCGGTTTCTCTCTTGCACTGGAGCGGCAAGGCCAAGCCGTGGGTTCGGCTCGACGATGGTCGCCCTTGTCCGTTGGACGTTCTTTGGGCGCCTTATGATCTCCTTCGGAGTACGTCACGCTCTCCTCTTGATTCTTAGATTTTGTTTTATACGGAGTACATAATTGATTAAGTGCGTGTAAATTCTCTTCTTCTTTTTCTTTTTCTTTTTTTTTTAACATACAAGGACAGATGAATATAATGATGAATATATCTGGATTTCCTATGCCATATGTCAACACATCCGGAATATACGGTGTTTCAATATTCGTTTTCCATTATATATGTAGGTGAATATTCATGCTTGCATTGAGTTATCACTAATCAAATTATTGCATTGGAGATTGTGTAAAGTCAAATTGGAAAAAAGTTATCAAACAAATGGAGTATAAAAAATTATTACATTGGAGATTATGTAAAGTCAAATTGAAAAAAAGTTATCAAACAAATGGAGTATAATACGGAGTATATGGTTGTAGTTTGTACAGAGAAAAGAAAAATGAAACAATTATTAAAAAGGTCATTAGAAGAGAATCATGGAACAGTTAAATAAAAAATAGAAAGATAATTATGTGAGTGTCTGTTGCACTCACACCTCATCTGATCGTGTTTTCTTGCCTAATAATTATCAGGTGGTATGAGTGCAACATTTTGAAACCACATAGACTTTAAAAATAAATTTTGAAAATAGGGGGTATTAGTGTTTATTTTGTAAACCACGGGGCGTTGGTGCTATTTGGCCTACGAATTGTCATCCGTAAAAATTAAAAGATACACGACAGTTAGACCTATCAATCGGGTCAATCATTTCGGTTTGGGTTCGAATCCTTTGGGGGCAGGGTCGGATATATGTTATAATCGGTTCTTTTCATTTCGGTATCAGGTTTAATTCAGTTTGATTTTTTCCCGATTCAGGTTTATTTCAATTCAGGTTTATATCGGCTCAAGTTTATACCGATTTGGGTTTATGTCTAATTGGTTTTGGGTCTAATCGACTTCAGGTTTAATCAGATCGGGTGCAATCGGTTTGAGCTCAACCGAATTCGGATTTGAATTGGGTCTGAATACATTCGATTCAGTTTTGGTTCGGTTCAGATCATTTCTGACGTTCGGGTTTTATTCGGTTTTTTAGTTTTTGGGTATTTCCTGTTCGGTTCGGGTTATCAGGTTCGGGTCTATTTTATCAAGTATGTACATAAACAATAATTATAATAGTCCCTTCGTCCCAATTTAAATCGTATGTTTGGTTTATGATGTTTGAGTAAATTTATTTTAAAACCATTTTTATATGAAAAATGATGTAGAATTAAAAAATAAATCTTACATATTTAAAAACTCATCCGTACATGAAAAGATTTACTCCTCCTATCCCAATTTAAATCGTATGGTTCGGTTTACGATGTTTGATTGTAATAATTTTTTCAAATCATTTGATATGAAAAATGGTGTAGAATTAAAGATCAAGAGATCTATAAAACTTGTTGTGACTTGTAACATGACTATATTATTTTATAAAATGATTAACGAAAATAGGAAAAGAAAATGAATGAAGTTTGACTATGTGAATAGAAAATTGGCCCTTTAGAGCATTAGCAATGGCATTTCATCACTATGCCACACCCTGCCACATTAGCATGTGGAGGCATGTTGCCATGCGTGTCTAGGGCGAGTCTCCCCTCAAACCGAGTAGCCTACGAGGCAAAATAGCCACTGATGAGTATTTTTGTTTTCTTTTTATTTTTCCTTTTTCTCATATGGATAAGGAAATCTGTGGCCAATGGCCATCAACACATCTAAGTATCTAACACATCTGTACTTCTATACTCCATATTGTTTTCTTATTTTTCTTTTGTATTTCTTTGTTCATTTTCTTTGGGGTTTTACGAGAAGACATCTCTAATTTTTTTAAAAACATTTTATTTACAAATTGGTATATCGATAAGAAATACAAATTACAAATTAAATAATTACGTCAAAAGTTCTACAAAACAAATAGTGACAAAAATATTTTATTTTATCAAATACCTAATGAAATTACGTAAACAAACAAAAGTTATCGAGAAGAGAGAGAAAAAATTATAATCTATTTAGGAACCCAGGGGGTATTTTTTTCTTTGTTACTCCGTATGATAAGATAAAAAAATAAAATAGGAGGCTCTTTAATAATTAAAATTCTCAAAAAAATATGAAAGTTACAAAAAATAATGACTTGCCACTGTAAAGTGTGCTACTCCACTCACTTGCCACTTTGTGACTAGACTGTTTTTTATTGGTTGAAAAATGACATGTCAGCGTGTGGCATATCATTTTTTATATACTCAATGACTGGTATATAAAATTTATATAAAGAATTTTAGAAAAACACAAGTCTGGTTGATTAATGAAAAGAAGAAAATGAAGTGTAAAATTTTGCAATGGATGGAATAACTCCGTAGTAAATGATAATTTAATTTTGAAAAGGGAGCAATAAATACCATTTCAGTTATTCCTGATTCAAAAGTTTTTAAATTCAATGATTTATCCTTTATAAACCCATTCCAATTCCGTTTTAATTTGTACCGATCCTTTCATCTTCTTTCTCTCTGCCATGGCAAATCCAGACCAAAATGACGATCAAGACCAAAGCCAAAACGAGAACCCAAATCAAAGTCCAAATCAAAATCCAAACCAAAACCAAAACCAAAATCAAAATCAAAACCAAAACCAAAACCAAAACAAGAAGAACAAAAACCAGCAGCAGGGCCAACAGATGCTGGCAAACGCCGTTGAAGAATTCAACCTCCGGGAGACGGCGCCACTCCTCGGCGGCGGCAGGGTCTCCGGGAACGACCGTCTCGGGACGGCGTTTGATCTCGTCGAACAAATGCACTATCTCTACGTCCGGGTTGTGAAGGCCAAGGAGTTGCCGCCCAAGGACGACGACAGTTCCGACGACGGTCCACAACCCTTCGTCGAGGTGAAGATCGGAAACTTCAAGGAGACGACTCGGCATTTCGAGAACAAACCCGATCCCGAGTGGAACCAGGTTTTCTCCATCCTCAAGGAGCACATTCAGTCCCCCGTCGTCGAGATCGCCGTGAGAGATAAAGACAAAAGCCAAGAAGATTCCGATCTGATCGGAGCCGTCACGTTCGATGTTCTTGAGGTTCCCACTAGGGTTCCTCCCGACAGTCCCCTGGCCCCGCAATGGTACCGGTTGGAGAACAACGCGGGAGGGAGAGCGCGTGGCGAGGTGATGCTGGCCGTCTGGATCGGAACCCAAGCCGACGAGGCCTTCCCGGAGGCCTGCAGCATGGAAGTCTCCGCCGCCACCACCGCCGCGGCTCCTCCTCCGACTTCTGTAAGTCTTGCGAATATCAAGTCTAAGGTTTACTTGTCCCCCCGGCTATGGTATCTGAGAGTAAATGTCATTGAGGCCAAGGAGTTACCCTTTGGTGAGAAGAACAGACAAAACCCTGAAATCTTTGTTAAGGTCTCTCTCGGAAATGTGGTTTTGAGGACTAAGATGTCTGTCACTAAGACAGCGAACCCGGTTTGGAACGAGGACTTGATGTTCGTCGTGGCCGAACCGTTCGACGAGGAACTGGTTGTGTCTGTCGAGGATAAGGTGGGAGGAAACAAGGAGGAAGTTCTGGGGAAATGTGTCGTCCCTTTGCAGACGGTGGAGAAGAGGGTGGACTTTAGGGTTCCGACGGGCAGGTGGTGTGCTCTGGAGAAGCTTGCGCCGGTGGGGGAGAACGGGGAGATGGTGAATGTGATCAAAACGAACTGTAGGGTTCATCTGAGGTTGTCGTTCGATGGCGGGTACCATGTTCTCGACGAGTTGACTCAGTACAGTAGCGATTTCAAGGCCACCGCTAGACAGCTTTCCAAGCCGTCTATCGGCGTTCTTGAACTCGGGGTCCTGAGCGCTCAGGACTTGGCACCAATGAAGCAAAAGGATGGCCGCGGGAGGACGGACTCGTACTGCGTGGCCAAGTACGGGCCCAAGTGGATCCGTACTCGGACGGTTCTCAACAGTCTGAACCCCAAATGGAACGAGCAGTACACTTGGGACATGTTCGATCCTTGCACTGTCATCACAATCGCGGTTTTCGATAACAACCACTTGCCAGAAGTCGCGACGAATAACGGAGGAGGTCGAGGCGGGGGAGGAGGAGGAGTCGATCAAAGAATTGGAAAAGTCCGGATCCGGCTTTCTACC